CCTGTCCTCCTTGTCCCCCCAGCTCTTCTTCCTCTCCCAGCCAGATTCCTCTCTCCTAGGTCTCCAGGGCTCAGCCTTCCGGTCCCTCTGCCCATCACGCCACTTTTCTTTTCCACTCCACTCCCTGGAATTCTGGAAATGGGGTTTCTGATGCCAGACCTCGGAGACGTTGGCAGAGACCACAGGGTCCTGGCCCCAGCTCTCCAGGCCCTGCAGTGTCTGGGCCAACCGGTGGCCCAGCTCGGCCAGGCCAGCGTGAGCGGGGGCCCCTCGGCCGGCGTCCTGCAGGCTCCGCTGCAGGTCCTGCTGCACAGACCCCAGCAGCCGCCGCTGCCTCTGCAGCTCCTGCCGCAGTGCCTGGGCCTCGGCCTCCAGCCGCTCCTTCTGCTCCAGGAAGCCAGGGTCCGGCTCCTGCCCCCGGTGGCCACGCTCCTTGGTGGCCTTGCCCGGCTGCGGTTCTCTGCCCCAGGGGAGGCACAGCCCGTCTGTGCCCCGGATGCAGCTGCCCTCCAGCCCTTGGAGCCGCGTCCTCAGCTGCTGCAGCTCCGACTCCAAGGCCCGCTGGGAGGCCTCACCCTGCTGCAGGGCCCCCCGGAGCCGGGCGTTTTCCTCCTCCAGCCCCCTGGGCTGCTGCAGCAGGCTCTGCAGCTCTTCTTTCTGGGCCTGGGATAGGGTCAAGGATGGAAGGAACCAGAGTCCTCGTCAGATTGGACCCAATACCTCCTACCCCAATTCCACTCCATTACCGCCGGCAGGGGCCCAAGCCCCTATGGACTGGGACACCCGAGGACTCGGCTCGTCCTCCCCATCCTTACCCTTAACCGGTACTTCTCAGATTCCCTTAGGACGGCCAGTGCGTGGCCCTCGTGGCCCTACCCACCCCGTGCCTGGAGCAGACACTGTGAACTGATGCTAACCGCTGAGCCTGGCACATCCCCTCCACAGCAATCAGTCAGAGGGGGCATGCCACGTGAAACAGGGACGCAGCCTGGCCCAGGCCTCAGCAGGAGGCCCGTGGAGAGAGCTAGGAAGGTGCCCTGCACGTGGAGGCCCAGGGAGAGGCTCAAGGTGTGTGGAGAGTTGGAGGAAGGACACTAGGACAGACACCTGGCTAAGGTGGGCTAGCGAGCCAGCGCCCCCCTGGCCATGCCCACCTGCAGCTGGGCCTGTAGCAGGCGGATGTCCTGGTTCTCCTTGGCCAGCTTGTCCAGGAGAAGGCCCATGTGCTGCAGGCTGGGGGTGCTGTCAGCGGGCACCGCGGCCTGCAGCTGATCCCTTGGCCTCTCCTAGGGGCCGAAGAGCCGGTTTCCTCAAGCTCCCCAGGCTGTCCCAGGCTGTCCCAGCAGCCCCCCCACACCCCTCCACACAGACC